GATTTTGGCCAAATTTGACCAGAAGAAATAGATCCTGTTAAGATCTCTCAAAAGTCCTCAAAATAGATAGGCTGGGTATGTGTATATACCTGCTGAAGCCAATATTCAGACCTACCAGCAGGTGAGCAACAGTGACTGACTGATCACAGATGTCACTTTCCAACAGGCAAACAGTACAGAGAGAGGTAAGAGATGTGGGGGTATGTGAGGGTAGTTGCAAGAGTTATGCAAGAGAGGAGAGGAAAGGATGCAGGGTAAAAGCCTTTGGACTGCTTGTTTGAGAAACATAATAGAAGATGTGTTGGCATGTTTGAAAACATTTTGGTTTATTCCCTCCTGAAGCTATCAAGAATCAGCCTCTTGGGATGAGAAATGAGACAACACTAACCATGTGGCCTATACAACCTGAAGAAAAAAATAAGGAAAAAGGCATGTATTTTCAGTTTTTGTAAAACTGCATTGTGCCACATTTATTCAATATCTGCCTGCCTTAAAAGGTTTGATTAGATAAAATATGATTTAAAAAATTATGTTAAACACTAGTCAGAAAGAAGACAGAAACTAAGTTCAAAACCTTTGTATTAAAAAGGTACAAAGCAAAATCTTAGAGAAAAAAACCTTAGATATACAAGTTATATTTTACGTTGACTACTTTAAAAGAAAAATTGGATTCTTTATCTCATTTTTATTCTACTTTATAAATCAACTATGTCATAAAATCCTTACTAGGTGACTAATAATCGTATCATCATAGAATGGTTTGGGTTGGAAGGCACCTTAAAGATCATCTAGTTCCAACCCCCTGCCATAGGCAGGGACACCTCCCACTAGACCAGGCTGCCCAAAGCCCTGTCCAACCTGGCCTTGAACACTTCCACGGAGGGGACATCCACAGCTTCCCTGGGAAACCTGTTCCAGTGTCTCACCACCCTCACAGTAAAGAATTTCATCGTAATATCTACTCTAAATCTTACCCCTCATCCTATCACTACACTCCCTGATAAAAAGTCCCTCTCCAGCTTTCCTGTAGGACCCCTTCAGGTACTGGAAGGTTGCTATAAGGTCTCCCCAGAGCTTTCTCTTCTCCAGACTGAACAGCCCCAACTCTCTCAGCCTGGCCTCATAGGGGGGGTGCTCCAGCCCTTTGATCATCTTTGTGGCCCTCCTCTGGACTCTCTCCAACAAGTCCGTGTTGTTATGTTGGGGAGTGTACTGCATCCAGATGCGGATGCAGTACTTCTGGCGGCGTCTCCAGAGACTGGAGAATCACCTCCCTCAATCTGCTGGTCACGCTGCATTTGAGGCAGCCCAGTTTGGAAATGCCCAGAAGATAGTTGTAGGAGATTTAGAATGCAGCACAGAACAGATAAAAGCACACTTTTTCTTTCTTCTGAACTAGTTGATGATTCATGAATAGCATAACACACCAGAACTTTGCATAGTTTCCATTTTTTATTTTGTCTGCTTTGCAAAGAAAAGCATTGAAATATCATTGAAGGTGATGAACCATGAACCTGCTATCTTTGCAATACATAACAGTAGTCAACAAGACAATGAGGAGCCTTGTGAGAATTCAGCACAGTCCCTCTCACCATATCCTATGCTAATCTAACAGCATTCCTAGCAGTCTGACATATCCTGTGGGATTGAATTTAGAGTTGTTCACTTAGTTGGGGTGACGTTTAAAATTGGCAGGAAGTCTTTCAGGTTATAAAGCTTAGTTAAGTAGAGCTGTGATTAGTTGATATCAGCTTAAATAAGTATGTTACAAAAACTGAAAAATAATGAAGCTATTCAGTTTTTGTTTGAGTTTATTCAGGTGTGTTGCTTGCAACAAAAACTTGGACAACTTCTTGAAAGATTACTTTGAAATTAGATGATGAATTTTGAAATAATAGGAAAATGAATAAAGTACTCAAACAGTTTTTTAGTTAACAATAACTAGTAGTATTGATTATTACTTGAAACAAGGAACACCCAAGAAAAATGCCCATCCAAATGCAGGTCTGAGCCAGATGGCAGGAAGTAGGGTAAGGTAAAATTAAAAAATTCCAAAGGTCATTTGGAGCCAAACCAACATTTTTCAGGCTTCAAAGAAGTTGACATGAAAAATACAAATAGCAGAAGTTTCTAAATGAGCTTTAAATTGGGAGAACAAAGATTAAATTTAAAAAATAGACAGTCAGTAAGACTATGCCAAATCATGAGAAATTGCGTAAGTCCTGTGAGCTATAAAATAAGTGGTTAAGGCGCATTGGGATACTGCAGGGAAACAAAGTTATGCTTTTCGTAACACACAGTTCATTTCAGTATTTAAAAAGTAATCAGTGGGACTCCTGGAAATTGAAACTGTATTGCCGATCTATTAGTGATGAACGTACCTAAAAAATGGTGATAAATAAGAACAAAGTGGTGCAACTGGCATGGGTAATCTAAGTAAAAACCAATTTCTTTACACGTCTGTGATTTTCCTCCAGAGTATGTTATGATAAAAGAATTAGTGTTACCAGTATTGCAGTACTTTATGACTATTACAAAAACACTCGATCTTTTGATTACTCAGTGAAGGAAAACGGATTAAGTTGCAGAACTTTGGAGAACAATTATTTAGGTTAATCCAAACTGAGAAATAGCGTCTGGAATTGTATGACAGTTAAACAAGCTATAAGTAGAATTATAGAGGCAAATTTTAGCAACTCTAATAAATTACATTGGAAGAAATAGCCTGAAGTATTGCTGAAATGTAAATAACCTGTAACAACTCTAGAGGTATCTTCCAACCTAAATAATTCTGTGATCAAATGCCAAATTTGGACCTACATTGAGTAGATTGACATGATGATGCTATGATTTGAACCACCAACATGAGAAAAAGATAGAAGCGTATATAATAGCTATTACCTTTTATGGCTTATCTGTTATTTAACAAAATACAGCTGCGAAGTGGAAGAATTGAAGTGTTTTAGAATTTAGAGAATACATAGCTAAAAACTCAAGAAATGTGTGGATAAAAAGATCATTATTTTTAACTCAGCTTCAGTTGTGTTCAACTTCAGTTGAACAGCTATGATTCATATAAATCAATAATGTGGCTTGATGTTTTTGTAATGTATATGCTTATGAATCTGACTGAGTTTTGGTTATCTGCTTTATCATTGATTTTGATTGCAGCTTATTCCTGAGTAAAATAAAACAGTATCTTGCTATCCGAAATTTCTATGAAAGTTGTTTAAACTATGCATGTTGAATAGAACAAGATCATTGCGTACTGGGAATCTTTCAATGAATTCTGAAAAAAAAAAAAAAAAGAAGATAAAAAAGAGTGATCAGTAGGATATGAAAGCTGTCACTTACCTGTGTGGCTGTTGCAGATAACTGTTTTTTCCTTTACATTATTAGAGAGTTACTCTTCAGTGTTTTTGTCCAGGACAAAAACAAAGAGTTGCTATAAGTTTTCCTGCAGCTGCCATCTCTTACTTTTTAAAAAGTGAATGAGGACTAATGGGAAGGGTTTTTTTCATTGTTCAGAATGATAATAAAGGTAATAAAAACTAGAAAGTTTTCAAAAAGTTTCCTGGAATTGTTCACACATCTGTGTGTTTGATTACACAGATGTTCTAGTCAGTGATGTCAAATGGTTATGCTTTATCAGAAGGTTGTATGTTTGGATTAAATAGAATTATGTCTCTTACGCAGTTCTAATTTTATGTAAACCCTTAACAAAATAGAATGTTGTTGAAAATTGTGATGACCATGTTGCTCGTTTAATTTTTTTTTAAAACAATGATTACATTGTCTCAGCACAACACTGTGTGTCAGAATTATTTTGTCAACTGTTAGTAACTGGCAAAAGTCTTGAAGCATGAGAGACTTCTGTAGCCATTTCAAAATTTCTAGTTATAATAACACATTCTTTGATCTGTATTTGTGAATATTTCATTTTATGACTTTTCATTTGTTACCCATAGTTTCAGTGATAGTTCCCTTGTTGGGTCTCATATTGTGTAGTTTTACAAAGTAAGGAACTCTGAATCTTCTCTGTGAAATAACCATATATTTTCAGTTCCTTCTCAAAAAGTATTTTTCCATATCTCAAAGTGCAGTCATGAACACTTGACCTAGTAGTTAATTTTGGACATCCAATTCGTTTGTTTTGCCTTCATGAAATACATTTTGTTTGTTTCTGATTTTGATTCACAGCAACTCTTTTGCAACTTCATTACTATTCAGGCAATATAGCACATATAGTTGAAGGCTGAATAAATGCTTAGTAGCTATTGAGCCTTGAATGAAAGTCCTATCTAAAACATCTGTATATTCCGCCTTAGTTAGTATTTAAAAGATAGCAAATTCTTACCTGTATGCTTGTATTCTCCTTGGCTGTTTCCCTTGATCTTTTCAATTTACTACTTATCTTCATAGTTGAAGTTCTTCAAAACAGGAATTGTCTCTCTTTTTGTCCTGCTTCCACTTCTGTCATTAGAAGAACTAATTCAGTGGTTCTAATGATGTCTGAAATGCTGAGATTTACTGCAGTAAAATGCATTCATGAGCAGTAGGGCTGTAAAGTTATTTTTTAGCAATTTCTTATGCCTTAAAATATTTGTTTGTTTTTAAAGAATACATTGAATTTTAAGACTTTTAGATAACAAATATGTCCAAGTAAGCCCTAATGCACAGTAATTGTGTAATTGTATATAAAAAGGTATGAATGTGTGAAGAAGAATATTTTTGTTGTGTTTTAATAACTACCAGCTGCTGAGAATTCAAGGACCTTCAACTTTGTTCTACTGGAGTGGATTGTTAGATACAGTTCACACATAAATCTAGTCTAAAACTATGATTTCTATTATTTTTAATGCCATTTTGAATGAGTAAGAGTTAGGTAGTCTTTTTGAAGTTGAGTATACTGTTTAGCTGATATGTTTGGGATGTTACTTGCCAGTGGTAAAGCTTATTAATAAACTACTTGACTCATCTTAGTATGTATTTTAAAACAGGTGAGGCTAATGATAAGGATGTTCAGGTGGTGGAACTTCCCATTGTTGACAGCTTACACCCACGGCCTCCGTATTTACCGCTGGCTATCCCCGAAGACCTGGCTGATAGGCTGATTCGCGTACACGGGGATCCTGCAGTGTGGTGGGTCTCGCAGTTTGTCAAATACTTGATTCGTCCACAGCCTTGGTTAGAAAAAGAAATAGAGGAAGCTACAAGGAAACTTGGTTTCAAACATCCAGTGATCGGGTGGGTATTTATTTTTCTTTTTAACTGTTGGTGCTTTAATATGTGTATATAGTGATTCCTGTTCATGACAAATTGTTTTATGATGGTTTTATCCAAGAGCCCCAAGCATTTTCTGGGAATAAAGTATGCTTTCTAGATGAAGCTATTATTTTTTAACTGTGCATAATACAAGTTGATTACAAGTACTATGTAATCAGACACTTTTCTGTCTGGGTCTTCTTTACAAATGCTTTTAGCTCTTACATTTGAGGAAAAAAGGCTAAACCTACAATTTACATGCTACAGTCCACAACTAATTTTATTGTTGGCTGCACCTGAACGTGGTATGT